CTTAAATAAGGGATCAGGAAAAAGAATAACTATAAGAAAGTGAAAATCAAAATCAACAAAAAACTATGAACCAGAGACACTTTTTGGGGGGTGGGGGCCGGGAGGGGAGGGATTGGGGTCAGATTGGGGCATGTGCAGTTGTATGGGGGAATATAAAAATAAAATTTATTATTTAATAAAAAAAATAAATAAATAAAAAATGGGCACAAGATCTCAACAGACACCTCACCAAAGATTATCTACAGATGTGAATTAAGCAAATAAAAACTTGTGCAATATGATACATCATTAGGAAATGGCAAGTTAAAGAAACAGTGAGATACCACTGTGCACCTATGAGAATGCTTAAAATCCAAAAATTTGAAATACCAAAGAGAGCAGAGTGTGCTCTCATTCATTGCTGGTGTAAATGCAAAATGACAAAGCCACTTGGAGGGCAATCAGGCAGCTTCTAACAAAGGTAAACATAGTCTTAACCACACAATGCAGTACTCACGTTTCTAGGTACTTATTCAAATGGATAGCTTCAAAAGTTATAGCCTCACAAAAACTTGCCCAAAATGTTTACAGCTTTATTCATAATTGCCAAGAACTGGAAGCAACCAATATGCCCTTCAAATGGTGAACAGAGAGAGAAAAAAAAAAAAAACCTGGTGGCATAACTCTGTAACAAAATATTATTCAGTGATAAAAAAGAATGAGCTAGGACCTCCCTGGTGGCACAAGGGGTTACGACGCAACCTATGAAGCTATCCCCAGCCTCTGCAGCATGAGTTCCACCCCTGGCCAGGGAGCAGCCCACATGGCGCAGCAGACCTCTCCTGACTCGTCCCTGCTCCCCTCAGCAGTGTATTTCAGTCAATCTGCCTGTTCTGTTCCCCACTCTGTCTCTGGTGAGTCCTCTCACCCCCCACATCTCTGGCCTGTACCCCAGTTCCTGTATACATAAATAAATAAATCTTTAAAAAAAAAAAAGGAAGAGCTAAAAGACATGTTGAAACTTTGAATGCATATTGCTGAGAGAAAGAAGGTAGTCTGAAAAGGATACATACTCCAATGCTGTAACATTCTGGAAAAGGCAAAACTATGAAGACAATGAAAAAGATCAGTGAATGCCAGTCTGCAGGGCATCTGGGGAGGAATGAACAAGTAGAACAGTAAAACTATTCTGCATGAGACTGTAATGGGGCATAAATGCCATTACGTGCTTAACACACAGAACTATACAACATAAAGGTGAATCCTAGTCTAAACCATGGACTTTAATAATGATCTAGAAACGTCAGTTCATCAATTGCAACAAACGCACCACGTTAACAGGTTAGTTACGACAATATTATAGTGAAGGAAGGAGAGAGAAGAAATGAAGGAACATCTGAGCTATGTGCCCAATTTTCTGTAACATAAAACTTCTCTAAAAACCAAAGTCTATTCAATTTTAAAAAGTAACACTTATCAATTAAAGTTAAAGTACAAATAAAATAATATTTTTAGTATAAATAGTCATCCATAATCTCAGTAGAAATATAATCACTTTTAACACATAGGTATAGATCCTTCCGGTTTTTTTTTCAACTGTTTATGTATATGGTTTTTTAAAAAGAGTTGGAATCAGTCTGCTAAATCCATTCTGAAGGTTTATAGTCTAGTTTTAGTTTGGATTTTTAACCACAAAAAAAGTAGCCTATATAAAACATCAGTGATACCAAAAACAGATTCTAGAGGGGCCAGTTGCTATGGGAATGATTGAAAATACATTTCATTTCACACTACACCCTGCTAATGTACTGACCAGAAGGAAAAAGAAATATTTGGAGTAACTTAGAAGAGCAACCAAGAAAACTTCTTATCAAGAAGAAGGAAAATACATCAACCTAGTGAGGTTTCAAAGAGGCTGGTAGCATCACCCTGAAATTAACTAACTGTGCTGTTTCAGCATAATATACAGATGGAGGGGAAAGCACCCAGGAACTGGAGATTGGAAAGAAAAATCTCTCTCCTCCACTGAAATTTTTAAGGCCAAACAGACAGTAAGTCTCTCTCTGGATTAGGGCTGTTTCTGCAGGGTGGTAGAAGGCCAGGAAATAATAACCCCTTCTCTCCAATGGAGATGTGCAAAATACTTAGCAAGCTACAAAGTACAGGCTTTAAGTGATCACACATTTATGCATTGGCCCTCAGCACTGGAGTGGGCTCAAGGGTCCTTTCTGTACAGGGATTAACTCTTTAGAAGATGCTGGGTCGTGAGGCAATCTGGATGTTCTAGAGTAGGGACCAGGATGCCAGAGGGTAGGGAGCTCAGAGGAATGTCTACTTTCCAAAAGAAAAATTTTAATATGTGAAGAAATGATGCGTATCAATTGAATTCCCACTTTGCCTCAAACCAACATTTTTATGAAAGTCAAGAGTTTTGGAACACACATCAGGGGCAGACTTGAAGAGGAAAAGCAGAGCTGCTATCACAAAAATATAGGTCTAAGGCCTCCCTTGTGGCTTAAGACACAACCTATGAATCTGTCCGCAGCCTCTGCAGCACGAGTTCAATCCCCCGGCCGGCCAGGGAGAGACCCACATGGCTCAGCAGACCTCTCCTGTCTCACCCGCTGCTCCCCTCAGCAGTGCATTTCAGTCAATCTACCTGTTCTGTTCCCCACTCTGTCTCTGGTGAATCCTCTCACTCCCCCTCCATACCTCTGGCCTGTACCCTAGCTCTTGTATGCATAAATAAATAAATCTTAAAATATATATATATAGGTGGGCCTCCCCGGTGGTGCAGCGGTTGAGCACTGGGTTGTGAAGCTGCCTGCAGCCTCTGCAGCGCCGATTGGATCCCCAGCCGCCGGCAAGGGTCCCACATGGTGCGCAGACCTCTCCTGCTGTGCCCGCTGCTCCCCTCAGCAGTGTACTTCGTCAGTCTGTCTGTTCTGCTCCCTGCTCTGGCTCTGGTGAATTCTCTCACCCTCCTGTGCTTCTGACTGTACCCAGTGCTTGTATAAATAAATAATTAAATCTTAAAAAAAAAAATGTATATATATAGGTCTAGCTTCCTATCCCAGGGAACAGATCAATTTAGAGTCAAATAGATTCAGCTTCATTCCCAGCTCTGTCTTGCATGTCCATGAATTATATAATCTCTGAGCCCCCAATTTCCTATCTGAAAATGGGTATAATTATTCAGGCTTCATGCAGTTATGACAAGTATTACATAAGATAAGTCATGTGAAATGTCGTAATACTGCAATTTATAATAAGAAATATATATTTGGTCTTCATTCAGTTTCTGGCACAGAAACGTCTAAAACCACTGGAATTTACTAAGAATGAATGTGGGAAAAAGATGGCTCTTGTTATGTGAATAAGGTGACTTCTGGACCCCACCTAAAGATGAAGACTGGTTCCCAGGAAAACCAACCATGTGATTAGAGGGTTGCAACTTGCAGCCCCCCGCCCAGACCTCTGGAAGGGGAGAGGGGTGGAGGTTGAATCAATTACCTGTGACCTGTGATCTAATGTGCCTATGCTCATAGAATGCAGCCTCCCTAAAAACCCAAAGGATGGTGCTCAGAGAGCTTCTGGGTGGGTGAGCACATGGAGATGGGGTAGGGACAGAGATGCCCCTAGAGAGCGCATGGATGATCCACACCCTTTCCCCACCCCTTGTCCTGTGCACCTCTTCCATCTGGCTGTTCCCAAGTTATAATAAACCAGTAATCTAATAAGTAAATGTTTCTGTTAACTCTGTGAGCCACTCTGGCAATTTAATAAAACCTCAGAAGGGAGTCGCTAGACTTTCTGATCTACAGTTGGCTGGTCAGAAGCACAGGTGATAACCTGAGCTTTCAAGTGGCATCAGAAGGGGGTGGGGAAAAGCCTTGTGGGACTAAGCCCTTGACCTGTGGGAGCTGCTGCTGTCTCCAGGCATAGAGTCAGAACTGAGCTGAATTGCTGGACAAGTATCTGTTGGTGTGGGGCAAGCCCTACCCCGACACACACAGGAGTAGGTCCCATAACCCTTTTAGGTGCTAAGCAAAATCTCTGGTACATAGTAAGTGCCCTGTCAAATGCAGCTGCCATCCGTCACCATCACCCCGAGAGGTGACTGTGCTGCAAACCTTTTTTATTTCTTTTTTAACACAGCTGGTGGCCCCTCTCCCTTTTCCTGTTCATTTGCCAATGTGGATGCCTGGTCACTGTTGCCATGTAAAGAAAGAGTCCCTGAAGTATGAATTATCCAGCAGTTACCATTTTTTTTTACACATCTTAAGAATGGCTCTGTACTCCAGAGAGAAACAGACTTTTGGTGCCAAACCAAACCAAACCAAATCTCAAAGCTATAAACATATGGGTAGCCCAGGTAATAGCTTCTCACTCAAAGCATAAAGACTTGGTTAAGTATCCTCAAGGCGGAAGAAAACCCAGGGTTAGATAAACAGTTATTGATTGATTACCAACATATGACACCATCTCCAGTGGGGCAAGATTATACTTGCTGTTTATTTTCTTTAAGTTTAGTTAATGGATTCATATTTTTACTTTGGAAAAAAAAAAGTTAATATAGAACACTGCAAATAATCAAACCTATATCTGTTCCCATTTCCCAGAAGGAGCAACTATTAACATGTGCTATATTTATGACAAGCCCTTTATTTTAAAAAATGAAATAATGCAAACAGAAAAAGTGAAAATCTATTTCCTCCCCATTCCCCCAATCACTGTTAGGAATTTGATCTTTATCCATTCAGTTCTATTTTATTCTTTATCTAATTAAAAAAAATTTAATCAAAAGAAACACAGAAAATGTGCTCAGTGAAAACATCTATGGGTACAGGGGCTTTTGAGCCACCAAAGCTTCACCAGGACACACCCACTCCCCCCTCCAGGCACAGCACACACTAAAAGTAGGAAAAGCCAGTGGGAGGCAGGGTTGCAAACTCACACCCACACACATCGGGAAAGTAGTGCATTATGAAAGACAGTCTACTGAATTCCAAAAGGCTCACCTGGGTCCAGGTGTGTGAAAGAGCCCACCACGAAGTCCAGCGTGGACACAGCCAGTAGGAACAGCAGCAGCAGCTGGAGGCGGATTATCCACTTGACGCCTGCTAGATTAATCCCCAGCAAGGCCAGAAGCACTGTGACTGAAATTCCTCGCACGGCCCAGATATTCCTGAGGCTCAGCAAATCTGAGATGGACTCAGCAAAGCCAGTGATGTACATGGCACCTGCAACACACTGAGAGGCATGTCTAGGTAGGAAAACTGCAAGACAAAAAACGCATCCAGAGCTCTTAGCTGGAGCTGCCTGCCACTGAAGATCCCACTCAGCCAGGCCAGGGCTCAGACCTAGAAACCAGCATGGGGCTTCAATGAGATCTTCCGCCTGGGAATCCTGCCTTGGGTCCTATTTTTTCTCGCCTATATCTCTACTATCATCCAGAAGGGAGAATGAAAGCCAAACCCAAGCCTAGAGCTAGCTGACTGTCAGTGGTAAGATGAAAATATTATGAGAGAAAGATGGGACTTAGGGCCCAAGAAAGCTTTGAACTTCTCTGAGTTATTCAACAACTAAATAGAGAATGAAAACACACAGGGGGCCCATCTCATGCTTTGGAAGGGCACTGAAGCAAACCTCAGTTTTTTTCTCTATATTATTGTAGATCAATATTATAAAAAGAAAAAATTATCTAAAATTTGGAAGTAAAGGGAAAAGTGGGCGGCACATCCTTTTAGTCTCGTATCGGTCAAAGGCACCCTGGGTATGAGGTGAGGGTATTTATGAACCCTGGGAAGGCAAAAGTATCATAGAGGTTTCATGTTTAGTAAGTGAAGAAGACAGTAAGTAATGTTTCTTGGTTGGTTAAGTATCGAAAAAGAATAATTAGGGCTTCTAAGGATGTGTCTCTGGTGAATCCTCTCACCCCCCACAACTCTGGCCTGTATCCCAGTTCTTGTATGTATAGTTGGATAAATCTTTTTAAAATAAATAAAAAATAAAAGGACAGAGAAATAAATGAACAAAGCATTTAACTTAAGAAGTGATTTTAAAAGGTGAACATAAATAAAAAGGCCATAGGAAGATATATTTAACAAAAAGAGATGTGACACTAATGTTCTTTTTGTAAAAAGAAATTATAAAAGGATACCGGGGAAATCTGATCCTTTAAGAGATCAGTAATACATATCACCACGAGTGCTTGCTTAAAAAGAAAAAATACAGGCTATTTAGGAATGAAACTACTCTTACAGCAGACAGTAAATGAATAGAGAATATAAAAGTGTCATAAATTATATATCTATACCCATATTGTTCCATACTAAGAAACTACTTAAAAGCATGGTTTTAAACTGACCTAGTGAGGGCCTCCATGGTGGTGCAGGGGGATAAGCATCACTCTATGAAGCAATCCACAGCTTCTGCAGCATGAGTTCGATCCCGTGGCCAGGGAGAAACCCACATGGCAAGGCAGTCCTCTCCTGTCTTGCCCACTGCTCCCCTCAGCAGTGTATTTCAGTCAGTCTGCCTATTCTGTTCCCTGCTCTGTCTCTGGTGGATCCTCTCCCCCCCCCCCACGCCTCTGGCCTGTACCCCAGCTCTTGTATGCATAAATAAATCAATCCAAAAAAATTATAAAGGAAAAATAAAAAATAAACTATTAAGAGCACTATTCTATTTATGCAAAAACTACATTTGTGTATCGATAATCCAAAGTACCTAGGATTCAAGGCCTCCCCTTACGCCTAGCTCACTGCCAGTGGACACAGAGCTGACCTCCAGAGGGTGCAAACAACAGCAGCTACTAGGCCTTCCCCAGAGAAACCCAAGCACCCTAGAGGTAGCCTTCCTTCCAGCCATGAATGCTACCCTTTGATGGAAACCACCCTTGTTGATTTGTTTAATGTATAAACATCCCCAGATTTATTATGTTTTTAAAGCATTTTTATCTCCTCTTCAACTTTATAATCATAGTGTTCCTTTTCCTGTTTTGTTCTCTGCAGAAAAAATTCTAAGGCCCTTGCCACAGAAGGCAGGGGCTGTCACCCACAAACTTAAGAAAAAGACCCATTTTCAGGATACAACACTTCCGTTCCAAGGTATTTGCTTTAGGAAAATCATACTTCCACAATCAGAGACTTTTTTTTTTTTAACCTTGGGTACCTGCCTAGAAGACCGGACCCCTCCATAATCCTCTTCTCTGACATGAAATCCCCGGCCCAAGGTTTGAGTGGCCTGCGTGTCCCACACATGTGTTAAATCCCATAATGAAAACTCCAGACCTGTATTAGTTCTGTGAAAGTTTCCCAGCCCTCCAGCACAGAGCATGGAAGCCATGAGTAAGTGCTTTTGGACACGACAGCGCAGGCTGAAACTGAGGATTTTGGTGTCCAGGTTAAGCAGTCCCACAGGAGCCCTTAGGCCCACAGAAGTAAGTGGGGCAGGGAGTGAGGAGGACCTCCAGCAACTTGTCTCTCCCACTGGCCTAAGGCCCTGCGCTCACAGAGCAGGTCTGCCAGACCTCAGAGAGGTGAGGGGGAAGGGCTGGGGGAAATGCAGGGCAATGTTTTGCAAGTTTTAAAAATCATTATTTTAAGCATTATAGGTTCTAAATTTTGATGCTCTAGGGCAAAGTTTAGCAAATCTTGTCCTGCCGGCCAAATCCTGTTCACTGCCTATTTTGGGAATAGTTTTATTGGAACACAGCAGTGTCCATTTCTTCAGATTATCTAAGGTTGCTTTGATACTATGAAAGGGCAGTCGAGGAGTTGTGCCAAAGTTGTATGACTCGCAAAATGAAAAATATTTTTTATCTGGTCCTTTACAGAAAAAGTTTGCCAACCACTGCTCTAGAGCAAAGCAGGTGATCTGTTTGCAATTATTAAAAATAAGTTACTGCATGCATGCTAGGGAATGAGAAGGTTAGAAGATAATAAGAACCAGGAATAGGGACCCTCAGAAATCCTATCATACCCTGGATGATGAAAGACTCAAATCAATGACCAAACCTTCTACCTTAAGAAACTAAGAGGCAAGCAGAGGAAGTAAATAATAAATATGGGAACAAAAACAAATGAAAGAGACTAAAAAACAATCGAGAAAATCAACAAAACCAAAAATTGGTTCTTTGCAGATAAGCCTCTATCGAGCTTGATCAAGAAAAAAAGAATCATATTATTAAAATCAAGAATGAAAGGGAGGACCTTTCCAATCTTACAAAAATAAAAAGGATTATAGGGGAATCTATAAATGATTATCTACCAATAAATTAGATAATGTAGATAAAATGGACAAACTTCTAGAAAGACACAGTCTACCAAAACGAACTCAAGAAGAAATAGAAAACTGGAATATGTCTATGTAAGTAAAGAGGTTAAATTAGTAATCAAAAAATGTCCTACAAAGAAAAGTCCTGGACCAGATGGTTTCACTGCTAAATTCTACCAAACATTTAAAGAACTAACACCAATCCTTCACAAACTCTTCCCAAAAATAGGAGGGGAAATCTCCCAACTCACTCCATGAGCAAGCATGATCCTGATACCAAAACTAGACAAAAATATCACAAGAAAACTATGGACCAATATCTGCTGTGAATGGATGTGCAAAAAATCTTCATCAAATTATCGGCAAACTGAATTCAGCAGCTTATGAGGATTATGTAGGAGCCACACCCTGGTCAGACAACCCAGCCCAGGTCAGCTGCAGACCAAGCACAGAAAGTCAAAGATTGCCCAGAGGGGCACCAATGTCTCAGGGGGAGAACCAAAGGACAAGGAGGTCATTGGAGCAGGGGCATCAGTGGGGCATAGAAAAGCCCACTCAACATCCAGCTCTTTCTCATTGTGCAGGGCCCTTCCTGCAGGTTCAGTGCTGGCTCCCTGTCTGTGGTATCTGCTTCAAGAGGTGAGCTTGTTGTCTACCCAGGGAGGGGGAAAAGGGAAGACTGCTATTTGCCCACTTTGCAGGCTGCTTGCTTGTAAAATAGCAGAGAAGTAGAAAATCGATACACAAGCCCCCGCAGTAATAAAGTAAACTGAGTTTATTACTCACCTCCCAAACCACTCTGCTAAAGATCTCTCTCTGCTAAAGGTAAGTGAGTTTTAAGAGCGCAGGGACGATCTGTCTGCCTCCCACACACCTGTCCCACACCTGTGCGCACATGCGCTCACGTGCACACACAGGCAGGCAGTTTAGCGCTGCTGGAGAATCAGCTATATTTAAAAAGCCCTGGCTCTGCTACTTAAAAACAAAAGAAACAAAAACAATGCTTTCTTTATGATTCTTGTACTTTTACTCAGACAAATTCTTTTCGTTCAACTGTTTTTTTTTTAACCACCCACCGACCTCTGTAAGATTACAAAAACCTTTCTCAATCCCAAAGCGCTCACAAAGAGCTGCTTCTCCATGTCTGCACTTGTTTCCTCAGCACCTGGTCATCATCCCTGTGTCTGAGCTAAGACAGCCTCGGTATTTCTTCCCACTCATGGGTTTTCTGAGAGCCTCCGTCCACCTGATGCAGCAGCCTCCTTACTCATTTTCTTAGGTGGTGGGAGTTCACACAGGGACTTTCAGCCTCTCTGTTAAGGCCAGTCAAGTTATTGATGCGGCCAGAAGTCCCAGCTCATCTGAGAAGCAGGTACTCCGAGGCATGTCCTTTGGTGCAGGCACAATGTCCCTTTTTTTTTTTAAAGATTTATTTATTTATACAAGCACTGGGTACAGTCAGAAGCACGGGAGGGTGACAGAATTCACCAGAGCCAGAGTGGGGAACAGAACAGGCAGACTGACGAAGTACACTGCTGAGGGGAGCAGCGGGCGCAGCAGGAGAGGTCTGTGTGCCATTTGGGACCCTAACCAGCGGCCGGGGATCGAACCAGTGCTGCAGAGGCTGTGGGCAGCTTTGCAGCCCAGTGCTCAACTGCTGCACCACTAGGGAGGCCCCACAATGTCCCCTCTTGAACATAAAAGCGGCCCAGAGACCAGACTTCCCTGATGCCACCTCATCTCCAGCCACCATCTGTCCTAAGAGGACAGCAGGGATGGTTCCAGTCCTGGCCCTGCCTCCCTGGTCCAATCAGGACTCCCAGAGGCATGAATGATGGGGAAGGAACACTGGACTAAGGGCCGTGGTGACCCTGGACTGCAGGCTAGACCCTGCCTCTAAATTCCCTCTCAGAGCCCCAGTCTTCCCAGCTATAAAATGGGGACCTCTCACTAAGTCAGGGTGGATGAGAAGATGGTGGTCACCACCAAGGCAAGGGAAGAACATGCTCTGGTGGTCTTGGGGCACAGTTCTCCTGCCCCAGCACCTGGACTTACCTGTCCAAACACATACAGCAGCCCAATCGTGCCTCCAGTCCGCCCACCGAGGACCGAGGAGATCATGGAGTACACGCCACCACTGCCAACACCAATGTGCTCCCCGACACCGATGCCAGACAGCACAGTGATGAGGGCCACCAGGATGACGAAGGACACCAGGAACATGCCCATGAGCACACCTGTGTTTCCCTGCATGGAACGGCAAGGAGCAGTGGCAGGGGTTAGGATTCCCGGGAGCATCAATACCTCCCCCATACCCTCAGGGTTGCAAGCATGGGAAGAAGAGCTGGACCATGGAGGTGGCAGCACCACAAAAGGAAGGCCTGGAAGAAATTCAGAGTTACTATTTTCCATTTTAAAATCATTATTTTTTAATATCATGTCATCCCTCATAAGTGCTCTATTATTTTTGGCATCTCAAATTCGCCTTTTTATCCCAAGATCAAATCTTCTGGTTAAACTAATGTCAGAATTGACAGAGATGGTTTTAGGGTAAAAAGACATGCTGGTGTGGTGGTAGGTGGCCGCAAAGACAGCCCCAGTGGACCTATTCCCCCAGATTTCATGCCCTCGTGCTATTTCCTTGACTGGGAACCAGTCACGTCTTCCCATGTCACAGAACACAAGACACTGCAGGGCCCCCAGCGCATCACTCACCACCAGCCAGCCAGTCCTCAAGAAGAGAACGACCCCAAAAATGTTGATCATGCAGGATGTGAACACACCGTCCCAGGTCCCGAACAGCACTGGCTCCCACACAAACAGCTGGATCTTCCACCAGGGCTGGGGCCGGGCCAGGGCCTCCTGAAAACAGAGCACACGGAAATCAGCTCGGCAGCTCTGGGCGACCTGGTCAGGGGAGAGGGCGGCAATCGGCTCTACGGGACCTTCAGTTCATTGTGCCAGGGCAGGAGTGTGGGTACAGCAGCTGACAACAGCACCTGTGAGGGTGGCTGCTCCCTCCTAACAGAGGCGATTCCTGTAACCATGCGCAGCACAAACCAGTTGTTCTGCAAACCCGGTTCCCTCTCCCTCTGGCCACTCTGTGGACTACATTTCCCAGCCTCTTGGCAGGCAGGTGGGCCATGTGGCTGCGTTTGGCCTTGGAGTGCAGGTGGAAGTGCTATGTGTCCCTTTCAGCATGTGCAACTCTAGGTTCCCCCTCAGGCAGTGGGCATGTCCTCCAGTCCTGGGGGGCTAGCAACTTTCAGCAGTTAGTAATCCTTGGGTATCCTTCTATTTTTTTGCTCCTCCATCCCTCCTAACACTTCTGTAATGAATTCTATGTATTAAATTCCCTCTGTTTATAATACCTAGAGCAGTTTCTGTTTTCCTGGCTGAATACCAGCTGGTGCAGTGATCTCTGCGTCCCCGTCCATCCCACACTCTAGGATTCTACAATATCCTTTGGCAGTTGTCTGGAACCAGAGGCTAATAAGTAGTTAGACAGATGCCTTCCTGACTTTTCCAACTCAAAAATAACAAGGGCACCTATAAAACACTTAGATGGAAACACTTTACTAGAAAGAATAAACCTTGTGGAAATACTAAGAACTCATGCTGTGAAGACTCTGGCACAAGTTTAATGATGAACCAAATTCAGACACAGAAGTCTTCCAGTACCCTCAAGTGCACAGCAGGGATGAATGACTCTCAGCTTGGGGTGGGGGAGCCCCACTGTGGCAGTGAGTCTAACTGGTATGTGTATCTGATCTATAAACACAGTGACAAATGGGGAAAATCAAGTGCACAAGCAAAATAACCTTAGGTCAGTGTCACGGGGCATGGCTCCTGAAGGGCTGAGAACCACGCATCCTCCCGTAACAAGAGGAGATGACAGAGCAAGAAAGAACCTCAAGAAGTCAGGGACAGCTACTAAGCCACGTGAGACAGATGGACCAGCAGACTCCAAGGTGTCCACTCTCAGTCCGGGCCTCAAGCCAGAATCCTCCAATCGTGTGTTTTTCTACTTATCTGCCCTTCACAAGGCACACATGAGGAATCTCCCAAAAGTCAATAAATGTAAGGTCAGGACAGCTCAGAGGGAAAACCCTGCCAACCTGTGCTTGTCCTTGAACTAACAATGCCAGCAAACAGGTCTGGTGGTGGGAGGGCTGTTTTCCAGGATCCTAATCACGTTTGGACACAGCCTAACTTGGTGGCTCTGCCTGTGTTGGGCTTCCTTGCTTGGCTTGTTAGAGGCCCGCTGTTTATTAGAAACAGTAATAGCAACTATCAGCAAGTAAGAGGAATGATTTAGAGAGCACTGTTGTCCTCCCCAGCAAGGCTCCACTCTGAGGCACACAACGCCCTTGGGTTGGCAGCAGGGGAGGGACCCTGCACACAGCCGAGGACGAGAGGGTGGCAGCAGACTCGGACTGCTAAGGCCCAGCTTTGGGTTGAACCCCTCACCCCAGGTTGTAAAAACTGCACCACACATTCCTAAAGGCTACTTGCCCTTTCATCCCCTGAAGTTCGATGTTTCAGGTGTCAGTTTCTAACATCATGTACTTCGTATACTTATGAGCACATCTGCCTTACCCATGACACTCTGGTTGTGATTTTAGAAACGCTGCTCTTTTGTGCCAGCTTTCTTATTTCCATTCTGATGGCTCTTTTGTTAGTTTCCTTGATGGCAGAGAAAAAGCCTTTTACTCCCAGAGTCTCACTGGTCTAAATGAGACTGAAATATACTTCACAGAGGTTGCAGAAACTTTAGGAACTTTCACCTTAAGATTGAAAGCATAAATGGTTGAAACGGGATCGCGACAGAGCCATGACAACTAATTTGGGGACTTTAGGAAGTATACCTACCTATTTTTTTTTTTTTAACCAAGTAACAAAAGCATGTAACTGAGTCTTGCCAAACCGGCAGGAAGAACCTGAGCTTGACGCCAAGGTTGCAACTTTGATGTTCTGAGAGAGAGACAGAGAAATCTCTACATAAGCCTAATTAGAGAGTGAAAAGGAAGAAGAAACAAAAGCTTAAGAAAGAAAAAGGAAAGAGGATCAGAGAGAGAACCTGAAATAAAATGCCAAATAGGTCATGGAAAGACCCCGAGGAATATTGCTGGGGCCTCCCCCGAATGACATGCTGTCTCCAGGCATCGACATGGCAGTAGCAGCCTGGGCGCTCACCTCTCCCTCCTCCACCATACACTCCGGCCTCACCACATACAGGGGGCCTCTCAGCCTTGCGCTGCTGCCCCAGGGATGATCTTTAAGAAGAGTACTGCGTGGGGCCTCCCCGGTGGCGCAGCGGTTGAGCGCTGGGTTGCGAAGCTGCCCGCGGCCTCTGAAGCCAGGCGAGGGTCCCACATGGTGTGCAGACCTCTCCTGCTGCCCACTGCTCCCCTCAGCAGTGTACTTCGGTCCTTCTGCCTGCTCTGCTCCCCGCTCTGGCTCTGGTGAATTCTCTCACCCTCCCGCACTTCTGACTGTACCCAGTGCTTGTATAAATAAACAAACAAACAAACAAACAAGTAAATAAATCTTAAAAAAAAAAAAAAAAAAAGAAGAGTACTGCGTGGAACACTCAAACCAGCCTCCCTAAATCATGACCACTTGGCCCAGGGTTAGTATAATTCTGAGACCAATTGTGTGTCTGTGTGTGTGTGTGTGTGTGTGTGTGTGTGTGTGTCTTCCCCACAGCAACTTATTCTCCAGCACAGTTGGGTGTCCTGCAATTCAACTCAATTCTGATACCACCTTTCCAGAGATCACATCAGATCCCACAATGAAGAGTTCAGTCCCACAAGACCGCTCTCCCGCCAGCAGACCAACCCAGATGCCAACTGCAAGGCCAGGGCCTGTGCTTCAAATGGACAGACTTGAGGGTCCCACAGGGCCTTCCCCCTTGGGTTCCATTAATTTTTTAGAGCGGCTCACAGAACTCAGAGAAACATTTCACTTACTAGATTGCCAGTTTATTATAAAAGTGTGTAACCCAGAAACGGCCAAATGGAAGAGATGTAGAGGGCAAGTCTGGGGGAAAGGCATGGAGCTTTCCTGCCCTTTCCAGGTGCCCAACCCTCCCAACGCTGCCATGTGCTCACCGACCCACAGGCTCTCTGAATCCCATCCTTTGGGCTTTCAGGGTGGTGTCATGATACAGGCAACGTTGCTTAAATCACTTGTCATTGGCTATTGATTCAACCTCCAGCCCCTCTCCCCTCCCTAGATGTCAGGGAGTAAGAACGCAAGTTCCATCCCTCTATTCTCTACTCTGCAAGCCCCGGTCCTTAGGAGGGTCCAAAAGTCACCTCATTAACATAAACCCACTTGCGGTTGAAAGGGATTTTCTATGAATATCGAGATGCTTTTATTACTCACATCACCTAGGAAATTCTAAGAGTTTTAGGAGTTCTGCCAAGAACTGGAAGAAGACCAAATGTACTTTGCTTCTGATAAATCACATCGTCACTACTGGCTATGTCCTCTTGCTCTGTCCTGCCAGCTTTCTCCAATTTAGCTCTGAGAGGCTGGTAGAGAGCCTCAGGTCTGTGCTGTAAGCAGACAGCCAGCCGGGCACAGAACACCAGCCTCTCACAGTCATTTCTAACCTCTACCCAGGGGAAGGGGCAGTGAAACAGCCAGGGTGACTACAGGTGACAGCTGGGCTAGTTCTGGGCCACCTTATTTAGCCTGGGGGGAGAAATCTGTACCAAACTGCTGAAAATCCTCTTAGAACCTCAGAACGCTAGATTTGAACTCCAGTCATCAATTCCAAATACCAAGAGTCCCAGCCAACACAGACATAACAGGTTGTGGGGAGAGGGAGGTGGTGATGGGATGTGCGCTATGCCTGGTATAGAGTCTGCTAGGAAGAAGGTGGGGACTAAGAAAGAAGCTAAAGAAGAATGAGGAGCAAAGCAGTCCCTCGGGATGGGCACCTTAAACACACGCAAGAGTAAGGTTCCTCTCTTTCCTGAGGACCCGGCAATCACACCTTTGTGCTGCTCATTGCTGAGATCCCAGGACAAGAAGACTGGTCCTTGTCTCTCGGATCCCAGAGGTGCCCCACACTGCACACACTGTGGGTACCTGGTGGGTGCTTTAGCTCAGAGGTACAAGTCTTTCTCCTGTGAATAGAGAATCACTACACCTGAGCAGGGTGGCTACAAAGGTGGTGGAATTTACACCTGAAACATGCCCGGAGTAGGGCAAACGCTGCTTCCTGCACCCAGCACACTGAGCTGAGTAAGGAAAAGATCTGCCACAAACAATGACATGAGCTCAAACAGCCACATCCCACAGGCCACCTGCCAGATTTGAGTAAACATATCTGAAATGTGAGATGACAGCTTTTCTCTCTTCTGGCAGGTGGAGGAAAAGAAACCAGGTGAGAAACTGCTTCTGCCCACTCAGCTCAAGGGTGGGCCAAAGCCAGACATGGCCTGCCCCTTTCTCCCAGGCCAAGTGCATCCAGAGACTGGTTCTGCCTGGAGTATGTACACTGGAGCCAACAGTTTGCTGAAAGTTAATAATTTAATTTTATAATTTTTAATTTAATTTATTTTATTTATGCATACAAGAGCTGGGGTGTAGGCCAGAGGTGCGAAGAGGTGAGAGGATCACCAGAGACAGAATGGGGAGCAGAACAGGCAGATTGAAATACACTGCTGAGGGGAGCAGCGTACAAGACACAAGAGGTCTGCACAATGTGGGTCAGCTCTCTGGCCAGGGATTGAACTTTGTGCTGCAGTGGGTGGGGATAGCTTCATAGTGCTGAGACTTAACCACTTGTGCCACCAGGGATGCCCCCTAGTTATTTAATTTTAATTACATATTGGAGACCAGTCCCA